CCAATCCCTGCATTTTGGAGCGCTTCATAGGTGTTGAAACACTTTTTATCCAAATAGAGACTTAACAGACTGCAAGCTCGATATACCTGGAATGGGGCATGTGGGAAATGGAGCCTTCTGCTCTGCTCTGTTTCTAAGTGTACATTGGTAGCCACGCAGAGCTTCCAGTCTCCCCAAGGTCTCCATTCAGATAAAAAGTGTTTCAGTGCCTATGGGGTGCTTCAAAACTCAAGCCACTGGTGCCAACAGCCACCTGAGCAGCCATGATCCTCTCTCTCCAGCCATCCAGCCACCTCACATCAGTTGGCAAGCCAACTGGCCCAAATCCTGACCGCTCTTCTCCTTGTCGACCTTCTCACTCAAGCGGTAGTAGCAACTTGAGTTTCTCAGTGCGTCTGAGTGGAAGAAAGCAGAGACGCAGCAGCAGGATTTCTCTCAAGAAGACCCGGGTGCGCTGCTTGCTCGCATGCACTGGACTTACTGAGAGCAATCCTGCTGCTGTGTCTCTACTTTTTTCCACTCGGACAGAGCCAAGAAACCCAAGTTCTGGCAGTGTTTGCGGCAGCGATCTGAGTAGCCATGATCCCTTCTCCCCAGCCATCCAGCCACCCTGCCCAGCTTATTCATTACCTGCCAGGCCTCTCTACTTAAGCAGTGGCAGCAGCTTGACTTTTTCAGCTCCATCCGAGTGGAAATTAGAGGCACAGCAGCAGGATTGCTCCCAATATGGCTGGCACACACGAATGCACATGGGTCTTCTTGAGAGCAATCCTTCTGCTGCATTTCTGCTTTTTATCGTTTGGACAGAGCTGAGAAACTCAAGCCGCTGCTGCCACTTGAGTGGGGAGGACAATATGGAGAAGAGTGGTCAGGATTTGTACCAGCAGGCCAATCAGACAAGAAGTAGGTCAGGTGGGATGATTGGCTGGCTGGGGAGGGGGGAACCATGGCTGCTTAGGGGGTACTCCCATTGCTAGAAGTTGCTTGGATGCAGGTACAAGGGGCCTGGTTCCGCAATGCCTGCCTGCTCAACTGAAGGCTTCATTTTTGCCCTCAAACTAAGTCCAGTGCATGTGAATGAGCAGCACCCCCAGCAATGGATGGCATTGGTTCCTGTGCCCAGCCAACTTCGATTACACACCATGCCTCATCGGCATGCAAAGGAAACAAACAATCCCCCCCCCCTAGAATGGAAACTTATGGAGGCTATGATGTCTTTTGCAGAGAATTTGTGTTTGGAGTGATATTACGGCACCCAGGAGGTTCCATTGTCGGCGCGAAAAGCATTTTCAAGTCGACTCTCCTCTCTCTCAAAGGAAAAATAACCGTGGCAGAGAGGAGATAGATTTTGCAAGTTAAGTATATCCGGCATGGCAGGAAAAGAGAGGGAAGCAATTGTGGGGAGTGGAGGGGGAAATAGGGTGAATGTTGCAGAGCCTCTGAGGTTGTTCGTAAGGGCGAACAACTGCTATGGTGCTGCAGCATTCATGATTTTGGGACTTGCTCATAAATACTAGGGGTCACTTGTTGCATAACTTCAAATGAGTATTAAGTGAATGCTTATAACTTAGGGATTACCTGTAATAGAATAGTTTGCATTCAGAAGTTGTGGGTGCTCCATCACTTAAGGCTTTCAAACCATTGTCTGAAATGGTATAGGGTCTCCTACTCAGGCAGAAGTTTGACCTAGAAGACCTCCAAGGTCCGATCCACTCTATTATTCTATGTTGTATGTTCTATTCTCCAAAGCATCTGAAAGCAGTATAAGGAGCAATGGATAGAAACTAATCAAGCAGCTAACCAAGTTAGTACTGAGGAGAAATTTCCTGACAGAACAATTAATCAGTAGTCCAGCACTGGAGGTTTTTAATAAGAGATTGGAAAACCCTTTGCCTGGAATGCTATAAGACCATGGTGGCGAACCTATGGCACATGCGCCATAGGCAGTATGCAGAGCTGTCCCTGTTGGCATGTGCGCCATTGCCACAGAGGGACACAGGGCTGGGCTGTTCCCCTCCCCCTCTCCGCACATGCAGAGTCTGGGAACAGCTGCAAGAGTGGGCAGGGAGAGGCTATAAAAGGAGCAAGTTTTGGCAGGAGCAGCATTTGGTGCAGACAGTACAGTGAGTGAGCATCAGCAACCAGTGGTGAGTTTCAGAGGTGGTGGTGGCGGCAGCAGCGGCAATGTTTGGGAGATGGCTCATTCAGGGACCGGGGAGAAGTTGGCTGCTCAGCCCCATACGCAGCAATGGCAGTGACAGTGGCCCGGGCAGGCTCCAATAAGCCAGTCAGGGCCAAGGAGTCAGCCAGCCAGTGAGAGCAGGGTTGGGTGGGTGGGGGATCAGGATCTGGCCCCTTTTACCTCATCCAGGGGCCGGGGAGAAGTTGGCTGCCAGCCTCATGCATGGCAATGGCAGAAGCAGCAGCGGAGGCCTAGGCAAGTTCTGGTAAGCCAGGCAGGGCTGAGGAGCCAGCCAGCCAGCCAGCCAGCCAGCGAGAGCAGGGTTGGGTGGGTGGATTGGGATCTGGCCCCTTTTACCTCGTCCAGGGGCTGGGGAGAAGTTAGCTGCCCAGCCTCATGCACGGCAATGGTGGCGGCGGTGGCAGCAGCAGCGGCAGCCTGGGCAGGCTCTGGTAAGCCAGGCAAGAGGAGCCAGCTAGCCAGCATACGAGAGCAGGGTTATGGGGGGGGGGAAATTGGGATCTGACCCCTTTTACCTCGTCCAGGTGCTGAGGAGAATGGTGGCAGCAGCAGGCTCTGGGAAGCCAGGTAGGGCTGAGGAGCTAGTCAGCCAGCAAGTGAGAGCAGGGCTGGGTGGAGGGGATTGGGCTCTGGCCCCTTTTACCTCATCCAGGGACCGGGGAGAAGTTAGCTGCCCAGTCTCATGCACGGCAATGATAGTGGTGGCCCAGGCGGGCGCTGATTAAGCCAGGCAGAGCTGAGCAGGGCCAAGCACTTCCCTACCTGCATCTGGGATGCCATCTTGCAAGTGCTGAAGGGCTATGACTGGAGCCTGGTGCCCATGCCAGTGTGGGGCCACGGGGCGCTGAAGGCCAAGCCACATGTCAAGCGGCCCATGAACGCCTTCATGGTCTGGGTGCAGGCAGCGTGCAGGCTGACCAGTACCCGCACCTGCACAATGCCGAGCTCAGCAAGATGCTGGGGAAGCTCTGAAGGTGAGTGGGCCGGTGCAGAGCCCACGCGAGACATGGCAGTGGCAGACATGGGGGGGGGTGTCGGTCGGTCTGTCTCCCATGCGGTCAACCCCCTTCCCAGGCTCGTGCATGATGCAAACGATGGCTTCTCTGACTCGGGGGATCAACCAGTCAGTTGCGTTTGGATGCCGGAGCCCCCAAGGGCTTGCGGTTGGTGCGGCTGGGTGCTGGTCCTTCCGCCACTGCGTGGGGACTTTCTCCATCCAAAGCTATGAGGTTTGAGAATCAGAGCTAACCGACCGGCTGCCTTTGGACTGATTTTCCAGTGTCATTGCCAGTGAGCAGGCTGGGGGTATGGTTGGCTGTGGATGATGGGAGCTCTTTCCTCCAGTTGTTGGGAAAACCGTGTGTCAGGCTAGACCGGGAGATTTTTAAGCCCGGGGGGGGGAGGGCTCCTGGGCTCAGTAAGCGGAAGTGGCATACCAGCCGCTCAGATGCGGCGTTTGGTTTAAGTTGTTGAGATGATCGACTGACCTGGGCGTGTTTGGACCTTTTTCCCGACTAAGCTGCCTTGAAAATTGACTCGACTTTCATCGGTTTCTGTCTGCAGGCAATTCCTGTCTTGTTGTGTTTTCAGTTTGATGAAGGAGGGAAGCTGCGTTGGAAGGGTTGAAAAATCAGGAGCACCCTAATTTTAAGTGGACATCCATGTTCAGGAGGGATCAGACTGGAATGGGGTTATGTAGTCCCAAACATATGGGTATATGCAAAACCTAGCTCTTATGGAGGTGTTTCCAAACATTAGCTTATAACAGGGATCTTCAAACTTGGCCCTTTTATGACTTGTGGACTTCAACTCCCAGAATTCCTCAGCCAGCATTCCTTCCTTCCTTTGAAACAAATACCCCCCCCCAATTCTCCTGTTCCTGCCTTCTAAATTAAAACAAGAGAAAGCCAAGTTTTTTCTTTTGTGGTCTTTACATATTTAAACTGCAGCTAAAAGGAAGTGTGGAAGAAAACCATCGCGAGACACTCTTCTGTTTTAACTTTTTTTCCTTGTCACTTTTTGGAGTTTTCATCCTGCTTTCATGATAGGGCAGCATTTGGGAGGGGGTGTAGCTGCCCCCTCCCCCAAGCCATCAGCTGAACAAGATGCTGTCTGCCCACACTCTTCCCCCCATCCAAGTCTTTCGTTGTCATAAGCATTTCTGTTCAGAATTGGCAGAGGGGGCTGTTTGGTTTTTATTCCCCTCCCATCTATTGGGTGGTTGAAGCAGGTTTTGGTGTCTTCTGTTGTACACACGAAGCACGTTTGTTTTTGCTTAAACCCTCTTCCTCCACCTCCTCTTCACTGGAGCAGCCCTTTGTCTGCAATGAGCCCCTGCCTCCGGCCCCTCGCCTTGCCCCTTGGCAATGGCACCCCCGCCCTGCCCCCTCCCTCACCTCGACTCACCCTGCAGGATGAGTCTGCTGCCCACTGCCCCACCCACCAGAGACACCCTGGATCTCCTACCATCCTGTGACCCTCACAGGCATCCCTCGCCACGAGCAACATTGAGGTGACCACGCTCACCCACTCTGCCATGACTACCATAGCCATGCCCATCCAGTGGGCCACACCCACACAGTGGGCCACACTCACCCAGCAGGTCATGTCCATCCAGCGGGCCACGCCCACTCGTGATAGATAAGTAGGTTTGGGGTTGCAGTTTGGGCACTCAAAAAGGTTTGCCATCACTGCTATAGGATTTCCTGCCTTAGCAGGGGGTTGGACTTCCAAGATTCCTTCCAACTCTATTATTTTTTTATTCTTTTTATAGGAATTGGCATTGCAAATTACTTACATTGGAGGAAAATAAAGTCGGTTTCCTCCATGGAATTCTTTAGAGATGACAGCTTGCTGAGTTCTGTGTGGGTATCTTGGTGTAATAGCAGGAAGTTTTATCTGTGTAAAAAGAAAATGATTTCAGTAGTTCACATATTATTATTATATCCAACTTAAGAAACAGCTAAAAAAAAAAAGTAGTTACAAGAGTTAAGCAGTAGATTTCATCATAGAAAATAAGGTGTCAACGCTGCTAACATTGGATGTTTTTGCTTTGACAATAGTTAGAGATGCAACCATTTTCTGTTTTACTTTTAAAGTTAGATGACACTGGGGGGGGATGTGCATGAGAGTTTAGATAGACATAATAATACTGGACTAGTGTGTGAAATAAGAGCCGAGGTGCACAGCAGTTAGAGTGCAGTACTGCAGGCCATTTTAGTTGACTGTGTTCAGCAGGTCAGCGGTTCAAATCTCACCGGCTCAAGGTTGACTCAGCCTTCCATCCTTCCAGGGTAGGTAAAATGAGGATCCAGATTGTTGGGGGCAATGTAAATATATATGTATATATATATATATATATATATATATATATATATATATATATATATATATATATATATATATAAACATTGCTTACTGGTGTACACCACTTAGAGACTGTTTGCACTTAAAGCGGTATATAAGTCTCATAAATAAATAAATAAATGATAAGACTGGAGGGAGAGCCTGCATTTCAAATTAATTGGAGAATGTGATTTATGACTGTTAAATTGGAGGAGGGAATTGTGTTTTGATACTATGTGCTCAGGGAAGGAGAATCCAGTTTTTGCCTTCGACCGTGTTAGCGCCAATGCTATGCTTCTCAAATAAAGATTCTTTAAAGGTAAACAATGCCTCGAAGTTCTTTAAAGAGTTTCATCTGTCGGAACCATGACATTAAGCCCAAAACTCCAACTATCTAGGGGTCCCAAGCCCCAGTCACTGTCCCTAGAATCGAAGAATAAGCTGACAAAGATTCAGGGAAGTTCTCAGCATGGAGAAAGAGAAAACACCTGAAACCAGCATCGCAGCAGCAGCTGCTATCCCAGATGGGGGAGCGACAGCCAGTGCACCGGAGAAGGAGCTTTTTCAGGCCTCCCGGCTAGGGGCAAAGCACAAGCTGCAAGGACAGCTGATTAATTGTCGGAATTGACACAATCCAGTGGAGGCTCCAGATGCCTCAAGACAGCCCTGCCACCCTCAAGTGCTTCAAATGCAGACCAGGTTGAGGCACCACAAAGTGATTCCCACATGTCGCATTCTCCAGACCGGTGGAGAACTACAAAATTGTCTGCCGCTGAGGACTCATGTGAGTGGAAGTAGCTGTCTGCAGCTCGTAGTCAATCAGTGGAGAGGTTTGTGGAAAGATTCAAGGAACTAGAGATGAGAAGCGGACAGCGACCTTCCCGTTCCCCGTGGATGATCGACGAGACAGCTACCAACTCCTGCCAAGGGGATCCCCCAACCGCCCCTTCACAGATTAGGTACCCTTTCTGTCCTCAAAGCCCCCTACCAGGGCCTCTAGTCCCACAGGGAAGGACAGCTCCAGCCATCGTCCCTCCCAAAGCCCAGATCGCAGTTGACGAGATAACAGCCTGGGCCACCACCAGGACAACCAATCCCTGGACCAACGTGCTTATCTACTACCCAGCCCAGGCCCCATACAGCAATGGGGAAATCCATAGCCCCCACAGATGAGAGGCCAGCATTAATTAAATTAATTAATTAAATTAAGGGGATCCAGCAACAACCCCTTCCTGGACCGCAGAGGGGTCAACAGCAACTAAGGATGCCACAGTTCCCTGCAGACTAACAGCAGGGGAGAGGGCAATAGGCCCCACCCAGGCAGCAACCATTGGGGGGCCTACAGCAACTGAGGATGCCACAGTTCCCTGCAGACCAGTAACAGGGGGATGGCAACAGCCCGCACCCAGGCAGCAAAGACTGGGAGACCTACGGCAACTCGGGATGCCACAGCTGCCGGCAATGCAGCAACAGCCAGGGGGGTGGCAACAGCCCCCAAAAGTGCAGCCACTGGGGATGCGGCAGCTGCTGGGGGCACAACAGCCACAGTGGGGAGGCCAGCAATAATTGATTTCACCACCTTTAAGAGAAACCTTCAATGGGGACCCAGAGAAGCTGATTTTTTTCCTCAACCAAGTGTGCTCTTATTTGAACTGCTGTGCCTATCTCTATCCGGACCTAGCCACTATGGTCGACATGACTGCATCCAGCTTAGATGGAGAGGCATCTGAATGGCTGAACATTTATATAATGATCAAGGCCCTGAATTGGAGGACCACCATCTCTTCCTCCTAGGAATGAGAGCAAGGTTCGAGGACCCATCCATTGCCCTCAAAACAGAAGAACAAATCCATAAGGTAAAGCAAGCCAGCAGGCCTGCACTGGAATACGTACAAGAGTTTTGCAAGATAGCCAGTCAGATAGAGAGGTGGCCTGAGCAATCTCTAGTCCATCATTTCAAAGAGGGATTAGCCAAACCTCCAAAAACCTCCAACTGCTGCAGCTACTGAAAGTCCCAGGCCACCTGCAGGCCTAATGATCAAGTGTTTCCGAAGCAGACAGCAGGGACATCATGCCATTTGCCATGAAAATGGGTATACAAGCAAAGCTGCTCTCCAAACCCATGAGGCTTAAGCAAGCCGAAGTTTCCCTGATGGGAGGGACTTTAGTTACACAATTAACTAAGCTCCTATGCTTAAAAATAGGTGAGTACTGGGAGATTATTCGCTTCTTGGTGGCTCCAAAAACAACTGAGGCTGTGATCCTAGGATTAGTCTAGTTGGACAAATGGAAGCTGTTTATCTGATGGGAGAAAGGAATGGAAACTGTGAGGCTATCTATAAAGCCCAAGCCTCCCCCATTGATTCAATGGATGTTACAGGAAACTTTATCCCACCCAACGAGCGAGCGCACATGGCTACCTCACCGCCACCAGGTGAGCCACTCATCCCCAGCGAGTACCAGGACTTAGCGGAAGCATTTAATGAGAAAGAATGCGATCCCCACACCAACCCAATGATTGCTCTGTCAGACTGTTGCTGGGAGCCAAACTCTCACGACCAAGAATGTATGCTATGCCCCCCCTCGAAATGGAGGAGATGCAGTGATAGGTGGACAAAAACCTAGTGAGGGGATTCATTGAACAGGCCAAATCTGCTGTGGGAGCCCCTGTGTTGTTTAAAGAAAAAAAGGATGGGTCTCTTTGTCTTTACATTGATTATAAAGATCTCAACATGGTAAGTGTGGAAAATAAATACCCCCTCCCCCTCCTGAAGGACTTACTAACCCATCTGGCTAAGGAGAGTCTCTTCACTAAATTAGACCTGAGAGAGGCATATTACCGGGTGAGGATAAAGGAGGGAGATGAGTGGAAGGCTGCTTTCAACTCTCCCATGTGGAGCTATCAATTGAAAATCATGGCATTTGGTCTATAGGGGGCCCCAGCCGCATTCATGCAGCTGATTAATGAGGTCCTACATGATCATTTATACAAAGGGGTTCTGGTGTATCTTGATGACATCCTGATATACAGCACGAATATGAATGATCATGTAAAACTACTGAGAGAAGTGTTAAAGAAACAATTGAATGCCAAGCTCTACGTCAAATTGTCAAACTGCGAGTTTCACCAGACCCAATTAGATTATCTTGGTTATAGAAATGGACCTGACCAAAGTGAAAGCCGTAATTGAATGGCAGCCACCCAAAGACTCGCAAATAGCTCCAGCGCTTCCTAGGTTTCGCCAACTTCTACCGTCAATTCAGCCCCTCCTTTGCCGAGATTGCCCTACCCCTTACAGAATTACTCAAAACAGGCAAAGGAGGAGGGAAGTCACAACCGGGCCAACCACTAGCATGGACTATGAGCTGTCAAACCTCTTTAAAAAGTCTATTTGCTGTTGAACCGGTTCTAAAGCACTCCTGCCTAGGGGAGCTCCTTATAATTCAAGCCAATGCCAGAAACGTGGCCGTCAGAGCTGTATTACTGCAAAAGAACCAAAGTGGGACCTTACAGCCCTGCACCTACACCTCGAAAAAATTCACTGAGAGCGAGAGGAGGTGGGCAATATAAGAAAAGGAGGCTTTCACAATCCCCTGGGCTCTATTAAACTGGAGGCACTACCTTGAAGTATGAGCTGGTCACAAAACTCTAGAAGCACTGAAAACTCCCTGCAAATTGTCCCTGAAACAAGTGTCATGGGCACAGTATAACCATATTAACTTCATTCTAAAATACATACTGGGAGGGAAAAACCTCCTAGCTGATGTTCTATCCAGATTGCCCCAGTACAAAAGCCAGCAGGAAGAGGTTAATGAGGCAATTATCTCCAATCCACAAACTGCTGCTCAACTCACATCTTGCAGAGCCCCCTAATACTGATGACCCTGTGGCAAAATAAAATAAAATAAAATAAAACAAGAGCTCCTCACCAATCAATGGTTCAAAGACAATCAAACCTCCCTAACTTGCAGGGATGGCTTGGCTTACAAGGGAGGAAAGTTATACTTGCCAGAAACCCTCCATCTTAATGCTCTCCAACATGGCCATGATGTAAAACAGGTGGGACACTTTGGATATTTAAAAACTCAACATCTTATCCACCAGCAATTCTAGTGGCCAGGATTAAAACGGGACGTGGAAAATTATGTTCGGAATTGTGTGCCACCATGAAAAGAATTCCAGGGAAACCCCATGGGTTATTGCAGCCAGTGGCAGACCCTTCTCAACCATGGGAAGAAATCGCTATGGATTTCATAGTAGACCTAACTGAAAGTAGAGGAAATACTGTCATCTGGACTGTGGTAGATCTATTTTCAAAGCAGGCTCACTTCATCGCCTGCAAAGGACTCCCATCTGGCCAACTGACTAAATTGTTCTTGAAGCATATATACCGGCTGCATGGTGCCCCTCAAAGAATAATTTTGGACAGGGGGGTGCATTTCACAGCTAAGCTTTGGAGGAGCTTTCTTAAATTAATCGGATCATCTCAAAGTCTATCATCTGCTTTTCATCCATCTACTAATGGAGCCACTGAAGTTGCTAACAAGATGGT